GACATACTGTACCTAACCTAACCTAATCTAACCTAACCTAACCTAACCTAACCTAACCTAACCTAACCTACCTAAGTTGAAATCATATGGAAAACTTTTTTATTAATAATTTTAGGAAAAAAGTTAATTTTCGCAGAAAGTTGTGCATGATCAAACCTTAAATACAAACATCTAATACTAAATTTTATCCGTCGTATACGAGGTGTGTTTAAAATAAAGGTACTTTATTCTTAAGCAAATTTTCTATTTTTTAACGAAACCCGTATACGACTAAAAAATGTGATATCTGATAATTTTATTTTACGTTTTAGGTAATACAAAACTTTTTATTGGGAATAATTTTGTTCCTAACATTTTTTATAAACTCATCCGCTTATATTACATGTCGTATACAGGGTGTTAAAAAAAAGTGTCACAAAATGAAATGGTGAATAGTATGACCCAAAATAAGCAGAAAAGTCTTAATAAATGTATGACCGCAAATTAACGGTTTCGGAGATACGGACCATTTTGTGTTTATAACAATTTTTGGTGCAATCTTCCAAACACACGAACTGAAGGGATGTGGCGATTAGGGAAAGCGTCGATATACTGACGTAGCGCTTCCCTCGCATTGCCATTTGCACGACCGTACATAAAATGCATGTCAGCTAATTCAATATTAGTGTAAACAGGCATAACGAAAATTTATAAAATTATTCACCCACAACAAAATAATAACTGCAAATAGTATCTATGAAAAAACATCGGTAGACTCCGATAAGAAAAGCAAGTTTTTGAGAATGAAAAAAGATAATCAAAAAATGATACAAAACACAAAACACTCCGTATCTCTGAAACCATTCATTTGCGGACATATGTTTATTAAGACTTTTCTGCATATTTTGGCCCATACTACCCCCCGTTTTATTTTGTGACACTTTTTTTTTAACACCCTGTATATACTATATCGTACATGTAGATATCTTTTTTCCCAAAGAAGGGGAAATGATGCACAATGTATAATTAAAATATACTTACAGCAAGTTAAAAAACTTGTATCTAACAAAGCAATGCTAACTGGCATTACACTTACTAAATACGGCGTGGAACAGCCAAATGGAATAAATCCAATAGCTCCATTATTATGCGTTTTTCTAAAAAAATCTTAAGACGTGTCAATTTCTAATTCTAAAATGACATGTCGCGACGTAAAAATGGCATCCCTAAATTTAATCCTCTTCAGATGACATCTCTAACCCCCTATATTCTCAAATTGGAAGTAGGGGCCTGTGATACTTCATTTGAAAGGTCATTTCATTAACTCTTTAAAGCTGCTATGGTTTTAAATTTTATTTATTTTTAAATTTTGTTGAAATCGATATTTCTGAATTTTCATCGGTAACATCTGAACAGTTTTAATATTTTTAGCTGTGCATTTAAAAGGTTTTTTGACCTACCAATCTCTCTGAATAACTACACATAATTTGTCAAAGCATTGTAAAACCAATTGTAGCCAAATACTAACTAACTTTTAATTAAACAACAACGTATTATCGATGGCCAACGAATGTTTGGTAACCAAAAGACAATTATGTTAGTTTTCATTCATTGGCGCGGTCTGTACACAACTTAACACAAACGTTCAGTTTAATTTCAAGGTAAATATATAATAAAGTGAAAGTGGCTAAAGTATCAAATAAACATTTAAATTTTGGAGCCAACAGGGAAGCATGGAATGGAGGCGTTTATATTCACGCAGAAATCACCTGCAATACATATGGCTCCAAAACCAATAAAAAAAAATTGTCTCACTGAAACTAGGTAAACATGCGACAATATTTCAGGTAATAATAGCAACAATACACACTGTGCAAAAAAAGGTATTAAGTATTTTCACATACTATGAAGCACTGTTTTGTATCCCTAAAACAGACTAACCTTACCCTAGGTGCCAGGCCACAGAGGGCACAAGGTCGAGAAGTAGCCTAAAAGTTGCTTCTGGGCTCAGCACTCATTTGTGGTGTTACAAAAACGCCATCAGATCATGCGCAAAGCAGCAGGTGTTCAATGAATCTCAGGAACGCCAAGTTAGAGGCAGGTCAGAAAATAAAAGCGCCATCGTCAAAACTGAGTAAGAATAGGAGAAGTACTAAAATACTTGTCCTATTAACATGGCATTGTAAGTTTTAAAAGACATAATATGTACAACTTCGCACTGGCAAAAGACACCTTTTTTCGATTATGTCACGAAGAGGAGGCAACTGCAGTATTGGGCTACTGCCATGATATATGAAGGATGCGATTCCATACACATATAGAAGCAAAACCAAGAAAAAAATTTTTTATATGTATTCAAAAGTATTTATTTTTTATTTTATAGTCACAACATATGCTTCTGAAAACGCTTTTTCCATCTTCTAGTGTCGTCAAACAATTTTAAGAACATGGTGGACAAAAACAAACAAAAATTGAAATTTTAAAATAGTTAAAGTCACATCTTTTTATTTTACAGCGTATGTAGGTGTATTCGAAATACTATAATTTGGTTTAATACGATATAGTAGCGAAACAAAAATATGTTTAGTTTTTATTTTTGTTTCCATACTATCTTGTTAAACCAAATTATAATATTTTGAATACACCTGCTGTATAACAAAAAGATAAGCCTTCAACTGTTTTAAAAAGTATTCTTTTTGTCCCCATGTTTTTAAAATTATTTAACTGCACCAGAAGAGGGAAAAAGTGTTTTCCAAAACATATTTTGAGCTTATCAAATAAACAAAATAAAAACTTATGACCAGATAAACTAAAACATATTTTATTTATCTAAAATTATACTAAGGTACAACGACCAGGAAAGTATCCCTATTGAAGAAAAAATAGCTACACCGGAAAGCTACTACCTAGTTTATTCAGTCTAGTACAAAAGATCAAACTAGACAAAGTACCATGACCAATTATTAATAGTTAAGCATAAAATATCTGAGTAGTACGAGGTGGGCGAAAGGTCACCTGGCCCGCAATCCTAAATCTGAAACAACTCCAGCGTTGATCTAATTACTTGACAATAACACAAAAAACATTTTTGTTTCGTGTAAATAATCGGGCGGTTGTTGAATATTAGTATTGGCAACGCCGCAGGGTATGTAAACGTCGGTAAAATATACAAAACTAGTATATGATGGCATGGGAAGGCGGCAAATTGAAATGGCTTGTGATCGTTTATTGAACAGAATGTATAATTTAATTTTGTTTTTTTCTTACCCCTCTCAATGTGGATTAATTCATTGACATAAAATATGTCAAAAGTGACATCATTTGTTTTTATATTCTTAATATTTCTGGTTGGTCTGAGGTCGTCTTATAATTGACAGGGCTTGGGAACGACGCATAATACAGTATATATATATATATATATATATATATATATATATATATATATATATATATATATATATATGAATTTTGCTTAGAATTGCTAATCCTACAATTCTCTATTAGTGCTTGCTGACTGGGAAAATAAATACCGAAAATCGTCACTGTCTCCTGGACTATACAATAGATGATGATGAGAACTTCACAACAAATACACTTTTATGAATGGCTAATTGGGGATGTGTATAAAGCATGAATTGGAGTAGCATGTAGATTATCTAAGTAACAGGTCAGAGAGGTTAAAATTAAATAACATATGCAGTAGGATTCTCATCTTTCAGTACGTCTCCTATCGAGACTCCTGTCTTCTTTTGACAAACAGCGATTTTAATGTAATATCTCTCTCTATTCTGTATGTAATGTGTCGAGTTCGCACAAAAGAATCGCTGTCCTGATCAGAAGAAATTTACCACATCAAAGGAAGAAAATTAGGTCCCCTGTTATTTTTAATTTATATTAATGATTGTTGATGTCGCATTAATCAATATGACATTTACCTGTTCGCCTACGATGTCCTTATCTATGTTTCTTGTAAGTTGTAAGGATTCAGATAACTTAGTAAGAGTTAATTGTCAATGAAACTCAAATATTTAAAGATAATTATTCAGAAACAGAAGAAATTCACAGACCATATGCAAATACTGTTATCAAAACAATTGCAGTTAAATTACATTTCCTATTTAGAATTTGATTATAATAATTGTTATATTATTACATTTTTTACTAAATCTGAATATTGTGATATTAGCAAACTAGCCAAATAAAGAAATAAAAATTAAATAAAAACCGAAAACATACCTGGATCTACAATAATATATATAAATAATAAGTACATTCTATCTTTTAAATTATTAAAGTTCATTAAATTGAAATGACACGCCAAACTTTCAAAACAAACATACTTGTGTTGTGTCCCAAACAGAAAATACCATTTATAGAATAATTTATTTACTTTAAACCTTTCCCTCGCCCCTCACCCTGGAGCATGGTCAAATTGGGCTAAGCCATTTTACATTCGTATGCATAGGGAGCGATGTTGCAATTTTTCACTTTAGTGTCTATTCCGTCTGTTCAGATGGCAGCATCTTATGGGCCTTACATTTTTAAATCTTATCACGAGATTCCTGAAATAATTAGGCAAAAATAAAAGAATGTATTTTGCGTTTTAACTTTTAAATACTATAAAAAATGATGGAAAGTCAGTTAAATATCACTTATTAAAATATTATGCATTAAAAGTAAAACAAACTATATACTTTCTACCATTCTTTACAGTTTTTTGAACCCATTTATCGAAACAGTTTTTGAAAATATTATCGTTCAGAGCTGTATTTCTTGTGATAAAAAAGTCGCCGTCACTTGTCATTGACAACGCGTTGAACTTGCCCTTAACCGCTCATTCGAATTTTGGACACACCGTAATTTTAGTACTTGAAAAAAAATATTATTGCAGTTTACAAGTTTTATAATAACCGACTTCCTATATTAAATGTAATTTTTGTACGCATTCTTCAAATATTGTCCAGCTAGTTTAACCATCCATTACCCACCCAACCTTCTAAAAACTGGGTTAGTATTAATCAAGAAATTGACTTGTGCGAATCAATTTTCATTCAAAATGCACCCAAACAAAATTTTTACACTATTAATCATAATTATCAATAATCAATTATCGCTCCAATTAAATAAATGCTGCGAGTATGAAATAGATCAATTTAAAAATGAAACTTTTATGTGTAACGAAGTTAAAAAGAGTGCTAGACTTCGAATTAATGTACTTTTTGAAGAAAACGTCAACAAAACAGAGTGCGTTGATATTTTTGATAACAGAGTGGTGATTTTCGAGAGGAATAATGAGTCATTTGTGAAAATAGAAGACGTTGAGGCTTTAACAAAGTGCTGCCCTGGCGATTATTTCTATAACGCAACAAGAAAATCCTGCGAAAAATTATCGACACAAAAACAAAATACATTCAACGACAAATTAATAAAAATCGGTTTACCGCTCTGTCAAATAATCTCCGATTTAACTTTGGAAAATTTAACAGAAATAACTTTCAATTCCTCCTCATTATACCTGCCGAAAAGCGACGATTTTTTTACGGAAAATCAGTTTTGTCTGGACGAAACTGTCGACGGAAAATATGTAGTCAGGTTGTGCAGAGATTGGAGAGTTTGCGAGGATATGAAATGCATAAAAAAATGTTGTGCTGACGGTAAAAGCTTTGTAAACGGATCAAATTGCCAGGATACGTTCGTGCACGGTTTGGAATTTAATGGTTTCGAAAGTTTTATCGGTGATATAAAGGGTAAGTTTAAAGTTCGTTTAATTTGTGTGAGTTTGGGATATTAAAAAGTTTGTTTTACGTACTGGTATATGCAGGCAGCGATTAACCAACAGGTAAAAAGAAAGAAAATACGAGGTGTTTCATTGGAAAAGGGAAATATTTTAAACCTATATAGGGCTATTCTGTAAAAATTCCTTTATATTTAACGGCCTTTAAAAATATTTTCTTCTTTAATTCGTTCACTATTTAAACGGACCTTTTAAATACATTAGAGAACTGTCTTAAAGAAATCTGTTTAAATAATGATAGAAGTAAATTAACGAATACGAACATATTTTTATAGACCGCCAATATTTTTAAAGGCCGTTAAATAGAAAGGAATTGTTACAGAATAGACCCCATAAAGGATTACAAAAAACGGTATGTAGAAAAAACAGTATGCAGAAAAATAAAAAATTGATGAATATATTCAGTTTTTTATGCTCTTTCCAAATTTGAAATTCAATTTTTTAAAATTTGATGTATAGGGTGTTGTTTTAATAATTTTTGTTAAGTTTACCTGGATCAAAACCCACTCTAGCCTTAATGTCACCCCGCAACATGTTTATATAATCCATTTGATTTACATTTATCCAAAATTATCATGAACCAGTTTTTTAAATAAAATAAAAATTATGTTAAAATCATTTATTTAAAAAAATATATGTAATACATAATAAACATTTAAAAAGGGCAAAACTTAAGAGTACTTGTAGGTGCATTTTTATTGCTATTCTTATATCCTTATTAAAAAGTACAAAAAATTATTGCATAACCAAACAGAGAATTAAGAGGAGTATTTACCTACTTGGCATGCAAGGATTTCGTGGTACCCCACTTTTAAAGTTTATTTTTGACTTTTTCTAAAAGAAAAAATATGTACGTATAGGTAAAGGTTAAATCTGTGCTCCTCTGGAGACACTTTTCCAAAATTTGATTCAGTTGTTTATAAAAAAAAATACAAAACTCGAATTTTTTTACCCATTTTCTCAATTTTTTTTTAGAAAAAACTAAATTGGGTTTTGAAAAAATGGTTCCAGAGGAGCATAGATTTAACCTTGACCTACACGTACATATTTTTTTCTTTTAAAAATAGTCAAAAATAAACTTTAAAAGTGGGGGTACTACGAAACCCTTATATTGCAAGATTTTTCGTCTGGAAAGTGGCGCCTCTGTTAGATTTTTAAGAAATTAATATTTGTGAATGAAAACAATTTATTATATTTTACTGATGTTTTACGAGGGATAAATAAATTTTACCTATTTGTACACCTTATTTTTACGTAAATCATTTTTGTAATACTAAGATTGGCATATATATTATATGCAAGGGTTTCATAGTACACCAAGTTTACGGATTATTTTTAATTTTTACCAAAAGAAAATTTATGTAAGTACAGGTAAAGGCTAAACCCGTACCTTTCTGGAGTACCACTTTAAAAATTTGAATCAGTCTCTTCCGAAAAAAATCTAAGATAAGAAACGAAAAAAAATAGAAATTTTAAAAAATGTTAGAAGGGAACAATATATTTAATTTTTGCCTACAGGAGCATTTATTTTTCTTACAATAAAAATAGAAATACATTGAAAGCTTTTTCATCTAGAGGGTGACACCAACAAAATATATATTCTTTTTCTACTATTTAGTGATTTGAATTCATTTTGTTATTTTTTACAAATAGTAATTTCGCTCAATTATATTAAAATAATTTTATCATTTATCTATTTATTAAAAAAAATATCCGAAATTAAAAGGTATACACTCAGATGTGAATAATAAAAATATGTTTTTGTTTAGCTTTTATATCGCACGATTTTTTGTTTTTTTTTGTTTAATGAATACCTCTTCGAGTTAACAATAATTATTAATTCCAGCATGATAACAACTCTTCAATCCGTTAAAGTAATGTAAATCATTTTTCTTGCTTTCGCACATGGCTTTGATCTGTCGCACTCTTTGAGGCGCGTTGCAAAAGAAGATTTTCTAAAATATAAGCCAGTGTCTATGGATGAGAAAAAACGATTGTGACAATTGCTAATTGTGAATTGTGGCACAATAAAAGACGAAAACGAGTCACTGCTTTAAAATTTTGAGAAATTTATAAAAATCCTAAAATATTTTATTTATTGCTAAAGCCACCCCGATATGGAATGGGCCATAAATTCAGAGCAAAATAAGATTTGGAAATTTATTTGCAAGAAAAAGTTTTTCAATGTGGATATTTTATTGAATCTAAATTTGATTATGTTGCTGTAAATCTGGATGAAATTAAAAAAAAAATTCTATGATAGAGTTGAAATATCCATATGGAGCTAGAGTGCTGACTGTAGAAGAAAAAATATGCAGTAGAGAAATAACTTTTTGGAAAAAGGACAATACCATTAAGGAGAATCACTATTGGTATTTTCAAATTCAGGGCTAGCTGCACTTAACACAAATGGATTTTTGCATTTTGTGCTTTTGGACTTCTGCAGCAATAAAAGTGGAGAAAATTCCTTTTGGGAAGAAAAGATACTAAATAAAATTCAAAATTTTTATATGCAATATGCCTTGTCGGAACTTGTTGACAGCGGAGCTAATAGAGACATGGAAAAGTACGAGATAAAATACTAAATAATTCATGAGAAATTTTGTTTAATTTTTATTAACATAAAGGAATCTTAAATTATTTTGAATATGTTTATTAATTTAAGAATTACATTTTATTTATTTCTAAAAATGGTAGTAGGCGATCCATTTAAGATATGATTAATGTCCTGTTATTATAATACGCTTTTTTAAATTTAGGATTTTACCAGTGTCAGTGGCAATTGATGATATATAACTATTATTATACCCAATGTTTTAAAAGGCTACACCAACTAGTGGACTACGTTTTTAGGTCCTCAAATAATAATTTCAAGAATTTGATTCGGATTAGAAGTTTTACTACACAGAGTTTTGTGCCAAGTCATGTAATGATATTGTAAAACGCAGATGAGTAACTATCACATCAATAGAAATTGAAAATTCACATATGAATCTTTAAAAAGTAATTATTTATAACTTTAATAACTTCATACGGTCAAAAATTTTAGCAAACTTATTTCATTTTAAATATAAATTTATTTTCATTTTAACTTAGAAATTTTCGAAAAGTTCACTATATTCTTTAGTTGTTGCAACTTTATTGCGCTTAAGTAGCGTTCAGATTAAAATATGAATTGATTTAAGGAGCTTAACTGAAAAACGGGAACTAATGCTTCCATTCCAAAAAAAGTATTATGGTCAATAAAAGGACTTTCGAACTGTGATATCTTCAAGTTCTTATTTAAAACCTTTAAATATTAATATTATCATTAAACAAGAGTTATCTTTACAAATTGATACCAATATCTAACATAAGTTTGTTGACATAAACATTATTTTCATAATACAAATAAATATATCTCTATTAAAGAATGGTCACAATTTATTTAATATATTCATTTAAACATGTTTTTGTTTTTTGTCTAGATGATATTGAATACTAACTTTTTCTTTATAACTTCTTATACCCTACATTGTGAGATAAAAAAACAGACAATTAATTAAGAGCGTACTTACAATTTTTCGGGTATAGGAGTTTCAATGTTATACTGTTTCCCAAATTATGAAAATACTAAAAAATTTAAAAAGCCAATTAAAGAATGTGTTAATATCTACAGAAGAACTTGCTTGACAACATCGTGTTTCTTTTTTGGAAACGTAGAACAGTCGAAAATTATGAAAACAACAACATATTTTTATTCCAAAAAAATATTAGGTAATTTTTTTGTTTTTTATGTAAATCATATCATTTTCAAGGCAATAAATCAGAAGAAAAGTCACTGAAAACCGATTTCAAAAAGGTCTATTAGTTTTTTTTTTAGAAAATAAAAAGAGGAAAAACGTTTTTTGATTGACTTACAATTCTTTACTAATTTTGCTGTTTCTCTTCGACGATATCCTGTCTCCCTCTTGTTTAATCGTTTAATCGATAACTATAAACGGATTAAGGTATTTTGTACCTGTTAAAAAATTTAAGAATTATTTTGAAGAATATAATTATTTTTAAATAAAAAATAGTAAACTTTAATAAACATATATAATATTCTAAAAGATAAATCACATTTTTGTGATTATACAAAATTTTTATTTATTTTTCCAATATAATATGGATTGCCCTCAAAAAAATATATATAGTGGCTCGCAAACAGTCTGCTTTTTATACTGAAAACTTTTTCTTGTTACTTTTTTCAGAAAATGTTATTTCTGATAAAACTTGATGTTTAATTAAAACTTTATTTATTTAAAAAATTCTGTACCATAAATATAAAGGACCCTGCCCTTTTCTAATGGCAAAGTGGCGTTCCGTCAAATGTAATACATTTTGAATATGATGTTGTACTTGACTTGTTGACCAAAAGTGTTCATGGGACCAATTCAATCCTATAACTAGTTTTTTAAAATACAGGGTGCTAAAGTCGAGAAATCGTATTTCTTGAAACTACGTAAATTAATTAAAAAGAAAAATATATAAGCATTTTTAGTTAATTGTAGCATTAATATGTCCTAGTCTAACGCAAACATACACATAAATAGTTTAATATGTAAACATATACAGGGTGGTACTCAGTTACAGCAGGGGGAATTTTTGAAAATCTGGGATATTCTGATATGGAATGAAAACATGGTCAAAAATAAAAACTTACATAATGTTTACTCTTCTGACATTATATAAACCCATTTTACATTATATGTATACAGGGTGATTGTTAATTCATTCCACAGAAAGGCGTTTCTTAAAAAAAAATTACACTCTGTATATTAGGCAATTTGTTATTAATATTAATTATGCATTTAATACCTAGAAAACAATACTTTTTATTGAATACAGGGTGATAGACACATCAAATTCGTTTTTGATGCCCCAACAATTAAAGAAATATTCATTTTTCAGAATTACCCTATATTTTTCAAT